GCAAGACGCGCACTTCTTGCATCTGAAGAAGTGAGGTTCTTACCCACGAAAGCTTATGCTCCCAGTACTTCTGTTAGTCTCAAAGGTGCCACAGGACCCTCTGTTGCTATCTTCATATAGTAATTACAAAATGTGAACACTAATGTTAATATGCAACTCTGCATATCAACTTGTTTTTGCCAGAACTATTTCATGATAGTGTCATTTACATGTACCTATACTTACAAAGTTCAACACATATTGCACATTGTCGTGAAGTGGCATTTTAAGTTTGATGAAGGTTATAATAGAAAGGGTCTTTTCGGATTATCTTTGCGAAAGCAGCTTCAAAGGCAAATAAAACACGAAAATAAAGGAATTAAAGAAAAAAACACATTTTCCTCATCTGTACATAATGGACAGCTGTAAACACTGCCAATCGCGTAGTGATCTTTTGCATTTTAAAACAAAGTAACAAAACCACAGCAACATAGTTCCTGATTTGCCCTCCCACTGTTAGCTTAATTTCAGAGAACATAATGTAAATATCTGATTTCAGAAGACGTTACAGCATTACCAGGGGTATTGCTAGCATTCCTACCTTCATTGACCTGAAGAATTCTAGCCAAGTCCTTGTGTTTTAATTTAACACATAAAACATCTACATCCAAAGGTGGGAGGCACTTTCCCATTCACGTTCCCATTGAGTGGAACGTGAGCAATACCTTTCTCATGTTCAAATGAATTCTTTGGCTCCGTTCTAGTTCCATGAGATGACATATCTGCTTATGCTAGTGGAGCACAAGCCCTTCCTTTGGCTGCCGCCTTTGATAATTTCCCTGTAGTAGGAGGGGTGCCTCCTTTTAATTTGACAATGGAGGAGAGGTGGATGTGTGGAAGGAAGGTTTTATTCTATTTGACAAAGCCATTGCTCGGAACCTAAATTTGTGCTAAGGAGCTTCTCCATTTCATTCTCTACTTCCCATTTCACTCTTCTGCCTTCTAAAAATTTATCTTTTAATCCGTAGAGGCTACCTCTCCAAATAGCTCTCAAAGAAAAGCAATCTGTTTCACAATATTTTACAAAGATGATTTGGTGGAATATTCAGTTATGTAATCCCTAAGTGAGAAAATGTTCTTCAAAATAATATGGCACTCCCCCACCCTCCCCTACATCCAGGCAGATCCTCATCCTTTTGGACTGGACTGAGATGGACTTCATATTGTTGTCTGGATTCATACACATAAAAGACAAGGGGAAAAGACTATTTTCCATCCACAACTATATACAGATGATTTTGTGGGATACATCCCTTTGACCATAAAAGATTATCCAGGCACAATGCTCTGGAGAAAGGTAAAACCCCATCAAGATCACTACTAATATGAGGTAGTGGAAAATTCCTTCCCAATTCTAAATGTGATGATTTGGAGCTGAATCTTGAATAGCAAAAGTCACTTTGGCTTGAGTGGGAGTTTTGCTTCCACAAGGACTGCAGAACTGGGTCCTTCTGTAGTTCTCTATACGCCTACGAGGATTGTACCTGTCAGGATCAACCAAGAAGGAGAGATATTGTCCCCTTTCAGCACCCACATCCCATTACTTATTTCCCAAACTATCATTCTCCAAATGTTATTTCATTTTTGTTCTGGCAAAGCAGCTGGAATAGAATTTGACAAAATACTTCTGTTCCTCTAGGGCTGGGGTACCTGCTGCTTTGTCTTCCTCTCTACTTGACAGTTGCTACAACAACCAGGTGAAGCTGGTAATTTCAAAAAGGGATAATTTAAACTTATTAATGATTATTAACACTATCTTAGATTAGTATAGCAACTTTACTTCAGGGGGATCAAAATAATAGATTTTTCATTATCTCAGTGATGGTAGAAGTGGGTGAGTAGATGGTAAAAGTGGGTGAGGGCTGATAATTTTCATATAATTACATATTCACACATGACTGAAATACACCCATTTCTGTGGGGGACATCATCACTTTTTAACAATTTGCAACACCATTGTACAACTCATTAGGACAGGAGGTAAAGCAGAATACTGTGTCAAACTGAAACTGCAGTGAGAATTTATGCAAACAGGGTATAATGACCTGAATGGGAATTTGTTGAGGACATGGAGGATTTGTCTACTCTGGGGATATTTGCCATCAGTGTATCTATGAATGTAGTTGCATCAGTGCAAATCTCTAGCATAGATGTGATGCACAGGAGTATTTTGTGACTTTTTTACCTTCCTTCCAAACTGGGGTTACCACCTTGCTGCACAGGTGCAAAATGGTTTATACTGGTACAAGGAATGCATTCTAGTGGTTTGTACTGGAGCAGCTGCATTGGTAAAGCTCCATCAATGGCTACAATCCCAGGCTAGACATGGCCTGATGCTAATAGTCCTCTTTTGTGAAAAGGGATTATTTAATTATTAAAAAATGTGGTTAAAACTTTAGTTTTACGTGTCATTAGAAAATCAGCATCTCCAACAGCACCAGACACAGAGTGAGGGACACCTACTGACTTGCCAAAACCAGTTCTAGAAGCAGCACCCTGCATGTTCCTTTAAGGCATTTCTCTTGTGAGAGCTGATAAGATAAAGATTAGTCTCTTACATTTTTCTGCCTTTACTTTACAGAATATTGAATCACATATAGACAAGGGCTAAAAACATACACCAGGCTCATAACTCATGCACAATATGAGGAACCCCCCAGAAACATTGAGTTTAACCTTTACCTAATCAGGAAACAAATGAAATTGTTTAAATAGCTGGGATATTTACACAGTAAAACCAGATCATCTGGGATATATTAAGATGGTGAAATAAGCAATCAGATTTTCACTATAACCTTTTTTCGTTCCCCTGTGGTTTTGAAACACAGTTTTGTGCTCATCTCAAAATAGCAAAGTTGATCTTAATGTGCAAAAGGGACATTTCTTTTTCTTTCTTCACATGAAGCTCATAATGTGATGTTCAAAAGACTGAAATACATTAGAAAACCTTTAGGGGTTTCTGTGAAAAAAGGAAAGGCTATTAATTTGAACAATGACTCCAATGTGTATATTTAAATATGCAATGTTTATCTAGTACTGACCTGCATTAGCCAAAATCCATAAAACCACGGTTGTGTACAGAAGTGTATAGTTAAAATGTAAAACAAGGATTTTTAATTACTGGTAGGTCATTTTTAAGCTTTTATATTTCACAGAGATATATGTTTAAAAATAATTTGCTTCATGCAGGCAATAGTTCTTTCTAAAGTCTATGCTAGACTGCTTTATTTGTGTATCCGTAGTGTTTAGAAGATCTTTATATCTCAATGTAGATAATATTTATTGGAATTAGACAGTTTAAAGGCTTTCATACTAAATTTGATGTATGAGTGGGTGGAGGGAATTATTATCAGATAGGGAAATAACATCAGTCTATATGTTTAAAAAACCAATCATCTCATCACTTACTGATGTAATTGGGCAGTGAGAGTGCTCAGTCGCATGCCCAGGATACTTAGAGCTTCACAGAACCAGGATCATTGACTGTGATGAGAGTTTTGCCTCAATAAGGAGAGACAGTCATGTCCTACATACCTTACTCATGTGAGTAGTCCTACTGAAGTGGAGCCCTAAGTAAGGAGTACAGGAATAAGGTCCTGGATCCATGTGAAGATGCAATAAAACTAGAAGAAAAGAGGACTAGAAGCCTGATCCTACAAATCCTTTCTTGTGGGAGTAGTGCCATTGACTATAGTGCTACTCACACAAGTAAAGACTTTTCACACGGAGGTTTTCAGGACAGAATCAATTGTAAAACAGTGATACAATTAAAGCAACATTTATATATTTCAGTTAGACTAGCTTTCAATAGGATAAACAATTTCTGCTAAATTATTCTAATTAGCTATTTTAATTCTTCCTGAAAGCCCTCAATCATTGCTTCAGAGGAATAATGTGTAAAACTGAAAATTATTTTTTGATACTGATTATAACTACAGAAAAATAATCTGGGAAGTCAGGAATAATTTACCATAACAGGGAATTCATTATTGAATTGTTTAACGTAGAAGTTTAATTATGGTTGCATATAATTATCATGTAAATATCATTGTGATCACATTAAGAGGTTATTTATAAAAGTGTACAAACTCTGAAGCAGTCTGAAAAGATTTTTTTGCTGTTGTTGCTTTGCTTCCCAAGTCTCTCAAGTACACTATATGTTTTAACTTAAACCAAAGCATAGCCAAGGGCAGACAGGAGTTCCAACAGTGACCAGTGTAATACTCAGTGCTTTTAATTACTGTAGCAATAAATCACACAGGAATGTCCTCCAGGAACTAAATGATTTTCTAAAAACATTTGAGAATATTTTTGAAATTCAATTAATTGAAGGCACCAGATAAAAGGTACATATTCTTAATGGCTATAAAGTAACCCTAAGGGATGTAACTGAGCTCCAAGCTTAACTTCAAAGTGTGACCGAAATACTTACTGTATTACTTTAAAAGTATTCAGATCAATGAATCAGTTAAGATTACTTATACATTTACCAACCTTTTCATTTTCTTTTTGAATATGATAGAAAGAATTGTTCTGGTTTCCCAGGATACAAAAAAGCTGTTGAGACCTGTAAAAGAAATTGTAATTAAAGCCAGCCTTCAGTCAAAACTGGTATTATGAATTTTTAGTTGACACAAGATAAAGGCCAGCAAAACATAAAAGTGGTTTGATGAAACATACATTTACATGTTTGATACAAAAACTTAACAGGTTTGTATTTCAGGCTCTGGGATGAAATCCTGGCCTTATTGAAGACAATGGGAGTTTTGCCACGAACTTCAATAGAGCCAGGATTTTATCGTGGTATTTTGCTTTTGTTTAAGCATCAAACTGATCAAGGAAAATGTTTCATTTTGGGCCAAATTCTGTTTTGTTTGCTCATGGGAGTAGTCATGTTGATTTCAATATGGACTTGATCATGCAAGGTGCTGAACAGCTCCTGACAGCAATGGATACTATCAGCTCCCATGGTAATGGTTTGGTATGCATGGTAATGCTCATCACCTTGCAGAATTGGGCCATAAGTGAATAAGGCATGCAGGATTGGGCCCATTGTTCATAAATGATAAGATATTATGGAAAGAAAGAATTGAAAACAGAAATTATTTGAATTGAGAAGTGTTGCATATGTAGTACGCTTAGTCAAAAGTATTAACAAATGTGTAGTTGCTGATGTGATAAGCCCAGCCAATTTTTTAATAGATTAATCTATTCTGATCAGTTCTTCTTTCCCTTCTGTATTCTCCTACCTTAACTATGTTCCTACTTACACAAATATTTATATTACATGAAATTGGGTGCTGGTTTTATAGACATTAGTTATTTATTGTTTCAGGTGACAAAGTTCAATATCTAAGATTATGAAAAGAAATTATGTACTGCTAATACCAGTTCATAGAGGAAAAATAATTAAAGATGTGTTATTTGGTAGTGAAGGAAGTTTAGAAATAGCTGAACTTGAAATATGCACACATGCATGCACATGCACAAAAACAGAACAAAAGATGCAAAATAGAAGAATAGGTATCCATTGCAGATGACAAAGCTAAATTCAGAATTCAAAACTGCAAAAATATTGGAGGAATAAGTGCAGCTCTCTCTCTCATATCATTCAAAAGTACAGACATAAAGCTAGAGTTATCTTGTATTCTTTCACACACTTTATAATCCTGTGTCCTAACCACACACCACAGAGGTGAAGGGTAAATGTAGGGGTCAGTGAACATTGGGAAAATTCACAGTGTATTACAATCGCAGAATCACCTGTGCTAAGGAGTTACGTGGTGGTCCACTCTGCAAATTCACATGTTATTTAATAAACATTTTAGGAGTGTAACACTCATTAAAGTAAAGAACAAATAGCACTAGGCCTTGTCAAGTCAACTTCTGCTGTTCTTTTTATGAGACTCTTTTAAGCAGAGACTACAAATTGTAGCAAAGAGTTTGATGAATTATTTTAAATGTCAAATATCTATAAGATCCAGAAAAGACTAGTGATCCCCCAAAATACCACCTCTGTGAACTCAACCCAGATTAGGGCCAGTTCTACATACATAAAAGGCTAGAATAGCACAGTAAATTCCTGTTTGGATCACCCATCACACCGTGACAGTGGTCAGTAGCTCTAAAAAAAAGTCTTATTTTTATAAAGAACTTTGCAGTCAGAAGACCTTTTCTCCGGAGCAGTTAGCTTGAATATCTCAGCAGGGCTATATGTTAAGAAGCCATTGGGTCTAACAAAGGAATACATAGATTTAGGATTAGGTCACTCTGTCACAAAGTTCTGAGAAGCTGTAGCATATACCTGAACTTTTTTTTTTAAACTATTTTTTTTAAATTGAAAAAAAAAAAAGATTTAAAAATGACTGTTTTTAGCTGTGCTGAAAAGGTTGAGTTGCTGCATTATAGAAGAAATGCAGTATAAAAGAAGTTAGGTTATTGTATTGAGATTAAAGCTGGGTGAGCCTGGAAAATCTTGTCTGGGAAGCAAGATCACTTAAAAGAAAATTCAGATGAACACATTTTAATTTTAGTTAAGGTGTGCTCAGTAAAGAAAAAAATACTTGAAAGAGAACTTGTAGGGCTCACAAAAAGTCAATTTAGTCAAAATATTAAATATACACAAATCTATAATAATGTGATATGTTTTATTAGCATTTTATTATTCAACTATCACTCCTCTTCCAAGAGTCTGATT